ATAAAGTCCATCCATCTAGCATGCAGCCTTCCTCTCTTTCTACTTCTATCCATCTTTCCTAGCATTATTGTTTTTTTCCAATGACTCATTCTTTCTCTTGATGTATCCAGAGTACAATAGCCTCAGCTTGCCATCTTGGCTTCCAGGGAGAGTTCCGGCCTGATCTGCTCCAGGACCCATTTGTTTATCCTTTTGGCTGTCCATGGGATCCTCAGCACTCTTCTCCAGCCCCACATTATCACAAATGCATTAATTTTCTTCCTATCATCTTTCCTAACTGTCCAGCTCTCACATCCATACATGGTAACAGGGAATACAGTAGTTTGTATGATTCTAACTTTTGCATTTTAGACTCTTTTCTAGTTCTTTCATATCTGCTCTTCCCATTCTTAATCTTAATCTTCTTCTGGTTCCTGGCTGCAGTCCCCCATTCTATCAATGTTTAATCCCAGGTATGAGAACTCTTTTACTACTTCTATTTCTTCATTGTCTTAATTGTCTAGGTTGAATGATTTTTTCCAGGATTTTCCGTTGTCATTATTTTTGTTTTCTTTATGTTCAACGGTAGGCCTGCCTTTGCACTTTCTTCCTTGTTTTGTTCTTAGTAGTTGTTACAGGTCTGGGAGGTTATCTGCTAGTATTATGGTCTCATCTGTATATTTTAGGAGATTTTCACATGGACAAAAGTGACGGGAGCTTAACAGGATGCCCCCGTCACTGTTGCACAAGTGTGCGAAGATTATCAGATGGCATTGCATGATGTTGTGATAATTGTGTCATTATCCAGTAAATAAAGAGAAATTCTAGTGTCAGTCTTCATTCACGGGAAAGTCCAGTGAATGAAAAGCAATGGGAGAATTCCACTTTATTCACAGGATGATGATGTGATTATCATGATGTTGTCTGATAATCTTCACGCAATTGCATGGTAGTGATGGAAGCATCCCGCTATGTTCTTGTCACTTTTGCCTGTGTGAACATCTTAGATTCCTTGCTCCTATTTTCATTCCTCCTCCTTCTTTGTCCAAGCCTGCTTTTCTTACAATATGTTCTGTATATAAGTTGAAATGATGGGGTGATGAGATGCAGTCTTGTCTGACTCCTTTGCCAATTGGGAACCATTATGTTTCTCCATATTCTGTTCTAACAGCAGCTTCTTGTCCTGAGTACATCAGGACTATCTTACTACTTCAGCCCAATTGATCCATATTTGGGGAAAGGAGGTTTTGTTGTATATCATAGACTTAATTTTATGAACTCCCAGGTCAGTTAAACATACAGAATATCACTTAAATAAATAATCTCACTTCCTCCTATTCTGAAACAAATGGCAGTTAAGTGACATCAAGTTGTAGGGGACCATAATGCAGTTTATCTTTACTTATCTTTACTGCTTATCGTTACTTAGACATTCTCAGGGATTTGAAATGTGGCCATGTTTAGAATTTGCT